GTTCTCGGAAAGTCGTTCCTCAGCAGCTGCGGCTGAGGAAACTCGACAGTCACCTTATTTATTTGTTTATTTTTAAAGCATCCAGGCCCCCTAAAGACCACTTTCTCTGGCCAAACCTGCCACGGCGTTGAAAACCTCAGGGATTTCTTTAAAAAAAACAAACCAGGTAATAAATAGGCTATACACACCTCTGCGTGACAGGCTAGAGACCAGACGTGGGATGTTTGCCCTCGTTTGTCTTTTCCCTGGCCGAAATACTGCTTTATTTAACAGAGGAACGCCGCGGCGTCTCCCTTTGGTTACCTGCAAGCTGTCTAGCGGGGTTCATGCCCAGCACCACCTACGTTTCGGCCTCAAGGCCTTTACTAACTGCTTAGTCGTAACGTGGGTCAGTCATGTTGCGTCTTGTCGTGACACCGGTGGCGGGATGCAGGTTTAAGCCATGGGTGTTTTCAGCGCTAGGATTTGTAACTTAAAAGTGGTGTCTAGGGAGCCGCAGGTGGGTTGCGCAGCTGTTGGACACGTCTGCATTTTAAAGACCACTGGTGGGCATGGTAAAGAAAACCCACACTTGCAGTTCTCTGAAAAAGTAAAGATAATTTTGGGGGAGAGAGTGTGAAAGAGCGAAACTGGTGGGAAGTCTGTTTTTTAAGTTCAAAAGGTTCTCCTCTAGTTATCGCCACAGCAATCCGACTTGAGTTCCTTTTCGTTTGAAAGCTTGGCCGGGTGGCGGCTGAGCCAGCCTCGGAGCCGTGCTCTGTCCCCACATGGGATGCAGAAGCCTCCATCTTGAGATGGAGAAGCTCCTCGTGAGACGGGATGCCTTGGGACGGAGAAGCCTCTCTCTCCTTGAAGTCCTTAAGTCCTCTGGACATGCTTAACGTCCCTCAGAACTGTCAGTGTTACGCAGGATAACTTTCTGTCATTGATAGTACGTGTTACTGGCTTTGCTCCTCGTTCCGTATTGTTCTCTCACCTGCATCACGGCCTCCCTTTTTCCTGTCCACATAGGCACTTACACTGGCTCTGGTTTTCCCCTGTTCTTTTGCAGGCTGACACACCTACTCGCTCAGTTCCACCTCTGCTTTCCTCACTTGCTGCCCGGTGTGCTGCTTTCATCTTTCCACGTGGTATCTGGCCCCCTTCCCATATGATACGCTCCTTTCTTATTTCATTTTTTTGCTTCTTTCCTTCTAGCAGCTTTTATTCTGACAGTGGCTTCTTGCTTTTATTTTCCCTGCTGCAATATTGGCCCATAGTCGAAGTAGCAAGGCCAGTAGCAATCTCTGAGTTTCTGTCTGTGTCTGCAAGCTTCCATGCTTTCTGTTGCAGTGAAGGGGAATACATGGTCCTTAACAGCTGAGGAAAATAAATATCCCGACAATAAACTGGCATGTTACAACTTTAATAGGATAAAAAGTAAGTCGTGCACTGCACTGGTAATGGATCTGGAGTCATCCAGGTTTAAAATTTAACTAGATATAACGTATTACTGTCCGTGGTGTTCATGCTTTACACCTTTTTCAGCATTAACAATAGCGATGCAGTGTCAGCTACCTAATATGGCAGGGGCAACACAGAGTTAGGCCAGACACCTTCCGGCTACTCTGTGAAACCTTCGTTTGCGAAACAGCCACCAGCAGTCTGTGGAAAAAAAAGCGTCTCTCTTAATATGAAGGCTCTTCACCCTTTATGGTTTTGGTTCGCTGTTTTAGAATTACATTGTTAACTTTTAACCACAAATACGACAATCAGCATGACAAAAAGTAGCGATGCGTTATCATGTGTAAGTGCAATGCCCGAATATCCTTCCATACTGTTCAGCTGCCGGAGTTACCAAGATTGGTGTATTCCTCTTAGGACAAGCAAGGAAGTCTGCCAGCTGCCTGCAGTGGCTTTGGAGAAGCTGATGGGGGAAGGCGAAAGGGAAATCAAAGTATGCAGCAGGAACCGTCAGTCCCCGCGTTAGAGCTGCAGTCACTGGGACGGCGTGTGACTGGCAGGTAAATAAAGCAGCTCCTGCAATGTGATACACTTTCCACAAGTTCAGCATTCCGCCTGCGATGGAATTAATTATTCATTAGCTGACAATTATCCCCCTTTCTGCCATACCTCAGCTGAGAATTTGAGATGCATACGGTTCGTTTCTATTCTCGGTTCTCCTGGTGTAAACACATAGTGAGCCTGAAACCCGTGGGCTCGTTCCAGGGTTAGGTAGGCTGCACAACTACATGAGAGGGTAGCAAAATTCAATTAAACCGTTTCTTTTGATTCTTTAAATAGACGAGCACTGCGGGTTTTTTTCCCCCGTGTAGTTTTTTTTGCTAGACCCAGTGACTTATTGAAGCAACTTCCACAAAGCTGCAGCCAGCACTTGTTGGAGCCACATCAGGCTGTGCTGGCTAGTACAGTCCTGCAGCCAGCGCCCCTTGGTCCTGCCCCCCAACGCCCCTGACCACCAACGGCTTGCCCGTGCCCAACAGCTGCAAAAACGGAGTGACATTTTTACAAGGTGAATGAATATATGGTGTATTTTAGGACTAGGAAGCTATTGCTGAGGTTTCACGTCTGGCCCCTCTGGTAGCTGAACCATCGTTTAAGACATCTGCATGGCAGCCCGGTTTAACCTGTATTGTACCGTTGCTTTTTTACGTGCTAACGTTGGGCTTCCCATTGCTGGTGGGAGCTTTCTAAGAAGCGCTCAAATCGGCATGGCTTATCGTGAATACAGCTACAGAGTTTCCTCCTGGAAATTTGAAAAGCCTTTTTTAGGTTGCGTATGTTTTGTTCCGAGCAACCGTAAGGCAGACAGTGGGTCGTCGGGGCATTTCCGTGCTGCAGAAGCGTGTCACCTGCCTACAGGGAGGATTTCACCAGTGGAGGGAAAATGCTTCTACACAGAAGAAACCTGAACATGTAGAGAAGACAGACAAGGTAACGTGGCTTAGGAACTTTTAACTTCTAGGATCATGTGAAAACACACAAAAGAATATGTTTCTCCTCTGTTATATTTATTTGAAAGACCTTAAGCTCTTTATTAACAGCTTAGATTAAAACTCTCGTGCTTGTATCTGATTTTGAACACTTAGACAAGATAATTCAATTAAGCAGAATTTTAAAAGCCCTGCACATGCATTAGATGTGTAAAAGCCCGCGTTAATTCACATCCAACACGCACCTTACCTGGTAAATGTATTTGTGTCCTTCGAGGGCAGGCTCCCGACAGAAACGCTGAGGAAGCAAGCACACTGCGCAACTGGTTATCGCAGGCGCCAACAGGCCCGGAGAGATGCGAGAGGAACGCCCCAACGGGTGAAATGTGCCCGAGCCCTGCCGACAGGCACCACCGCTCTCCCTCCGGCAGCGGCACGAACCTTTGGGTTCGCGCCCAACCCGAAGAGAGGGGCAGTAGCGCGGGGAACCCAGCAGCACGGTGCCCTTACTGGTCTGGTGGGGCTCAGTCCAACCCCATGCTGCCGTGCAGCTGGCTTTGTGCCCCGCTGCCGTACCGAGTTTGAAAGCGCTGGACTTCCAGGGTTTTTTGATGATCACAGCATCTCTGCTACGTTGCTGGTTCCTGTTATTCACTCTTTGGAAGAGGTAGCATGGAACTCTCTGCTAGAAGTAGTATCTTTCAGTGCTTTCTTGTTTTCAAGATACTACAAAACAGTATTTCATCTTCTTTTGATTATTCATTCAATCCTTAATACCTCACATCGTTCCGATACTTGTTCCTGTCTAGGAACCAATTTTAAATTAATACGAGATCGTACCGAGGGCCAGATCCAAAGACGATTAACGTTCACGAGAGCCCTTCAACCGAGCAGTTGGCTGAAAGTATTTTACCTCTCGATGGAATAGTGAGATATATGTATTTATGTACTTCTGAGTTGCAGCTATTTAAGAGCAGATAGATTTAAAAATAAACATCATTCATTTCACAGACCAGATGCGTCTCCTTCTTCAGAACCTCATTAATTTTTCCTAAAAATGCCAACACGTGAAGCTGCTGCCAAAGGCCATCGGCCAACAATAAAAATACCGCAACACTCCGAACGGTTTTTTCAAGTGACTCTTCTGAGCTGTTTTCCAATCTTGAGTGCAGAATACAAAGAGACTCAAAAGACTTTTAAACGGTTTGTAGTTTTTTCATTTATTGTAGAAAAGTTATTGTAATGCAGTTCATTTTTGTACATCTAAATTCCATAAAACAAATCCATAGAAATGAGGATACTATCAGCATGCAGTCTGCATTTTCTTTTTTAAATGATTCTGATCACAAAAATAACAACACTTTTTTCTCTTTTTCTTTGAAAGCCACTAAAAGCAGAGGGAGAGCAAAGCATGCAACACTGTACACATTTGCATAGTATATTTTACCCAGCATGCCTTGTAGAATGCTACACATACAGTATCTATAGAAGTAAAACCAGAAAGGGGCAAATCGGCAGAAAACACAAATTTGTGGGCAATTTATTTTCTTTTGGTAAAGGCATTACTGCCTTTACCAGCGTGACTCTGAACTGGCTCCCAGTGAGGCTGGAGGTAACCCTGCCAAGCTATCACTGGGAACCAGTTTGGGTGAGAAACAGAGATTTTCTGGGATCTGAGAAGCCCAAGGTCCACAGTTTGCAGTTTGAAGGACCGTTTTCACGTTCTTTCTTCACCCCTCTATTTCTCATGCATTCATACAATTTGCATTTTGCTTGCTTCTCTTCCTACGCTGCTCTTGTACAGCGTCGCCGACTTTCTCTCTCTCTGCGTGAGAAGAGAATCGGGCGTGGTTCACGTGTACGCGCACCTTGGGCCTAAGCATGCATTCCTTCGGCTTACTTCACGTTTTAAATTCTCAGCAATACCAGCGGAAGTTTTGGGTGGGCTCGTCCACGGCTCTTACGGTGTAACGTTCTTCTCTTCCCCCCCCCTCCCCGTCCCCATACACGAAAGCAAGTAGCTCTGTAGCCCCAAGAACTTATTTCCTGGGAGTATCTCATTCCAGACCTTGGGCTACTAGTGTATTCGTGGTATCGTCATCAGTCGTATGCCAAAATCTATACGTTGGCCGAAATTTGAAGTTATTCATGTCATTTCAGCTTTGAGGAGGAAATTA